CTTTTGTGCAGCAATCTGGGTACCACCTGTGCATTTTGTCTCCATAATTGATTTTTTTAAGATTTATTTATTTGAAAGGCATAGTTACACACACACACACACACACACACATACACACACACACACACACACATACACCTTCCATCTGCTGGTTCTCTCCCCAAATCGCAGCAATAGCCAAGCGTGGGCCAGGTCAAAGCCAGGAATTTCATCCAGGTCTCCCTGGTATTTGGGCCATTCTCTCCTGCCTTCCCAGGTGCATTAGCAGGGAGATGGATCAGAATGGATCACCCAAGGCTCTAACTGGCCCCATATGGGATGTCGGTGTCACAGGTTGCTTAACTCACTGCACTACAGCGCTGGCTCCAGTAACTGAAATCTAAATGCATTCGTTTAGTTCAAGCATTGGGAGAGTTTGTGAGTGATCAGGGGTCATGGATCACTGGAGGGTACAGAGTTTTTTTGTATTTATCTTTTTTTTTTTTTTTTTTGACAGTCAGAGTTAGGCAGTGAGAGAGAGAGACAGAGAGAAAGGTCTTCCTTCATTGGTTCACTCCACAAATGGCTGCTACAGCCAGCGCACTGCACCGATCCGAAGTCAGGAGCCAGGTGCTTCCTCCTGGTCTCCCATGCGGGTGCAGAGCCCAAGCACTTGGGCCATCCTCCACTGCCTTCCTGGGCCACAGCAGAGAGCTGGACTGGAAGAGGAGCAACTGGGACAGAGTCCTGCGCCCCAACCAGGACTAGAACCAGAGGTGCCGGTGCCACAGGCGGAGGGTTAACCTAGTGAATTGTGGTACCGGCTATCCTTTTCTTTTTTTTAAAAAATATTTATTTGAAAGGCAGAAGAACAGAAAGAGAGAGGGAAAAAGAGAGAAAGAGAGAAAGAGAGAAAGATCTTCCAACCACTGGTTCAGTCCCCAAGTAGCTACAATAATCAGTGCTGAGCCAGGCTGAAGCAAAGAGCCACGAACTCTATCTTGGTTTCCTGCATGGGTGGCAGGGATCCGAATACTTGAGCCACCTTTGGCTGCCTTCCCAGATGCGTTAGTAGGAAGTTGGATTGGAAGCAGAGCAGCTGGGACTGGAACCGACACTCTGATATAGATGTCACAAGATGCAGCTTAACCCTGTGTGAGATTACTTTGGTAGAATTGACAATGTGGCTTGTTTCACCCTTTGAGGAAAGAGGGTACATTTTACTGGTCTTAAGTGGTAATTACCAGAGAAATACTGTTCTACTTCCTCAGGTGTCTTTTTGCTTCCTATTACTTACATGGACAAGTTTATAGAATACATGTTATCTTCCGGTTGATAGCATTTCTCCAGAAAAACAAAATCCTCATGAGAGGAGATAAATCTTTTTAAGAATTTGTAAAGTACTTTTCTGTATGCTGTAGTTGAATGTTATAATTCTAAAAAGATTATTAAAATGTTTTTAGTTGTATCAAGACCATGAGTGATCTTTTGAATATTAGGCTAAAGTGCAAATTCTCCCTAAAGGATAAAATTAGATGTACTTTATCAAGTTTGTTTGGATTATGAAGACTATTCCTCTGAAACAAATATTTTCTTTTGATGTTGGATTTGGAGAAAAATTTGTAATCGATTGTGTTCTATTTCTATGCTTTAAAAGTGCCTTTTAGAATCAAACGAGTTTCCTATATTTGGTAGAAAAATATTGACTTGGTTTAATAGTTCAATAAAAAGCTATGTTAGGTTAGTTATCTATTTAACAAGTATTCATTAAACATCTATGTGCATATCACTTGGAGAAGTCCTAAGGCCTGAGAATTCTGATGCCTCCCTTCAAGGGCCCACTTTCCAGTTGGGGAAATAAAGACTCAAACCCATGAAACCTTAAGCAGCAGTGCACACCATTTGATTACCAAACCCAGGGATGAAATTACGTAAGAACTGAAGGAAAGGGGATACTTGCATTAAACGGGATAGTGATAAGACAAGTTAGAACTTGACCTTGGAGGGTGAATAAACGTTTTTTGGATGGAAAAGCAGAGCTAGCGTAGCCAGGCAGGAAGCACTGAAGAAGAAATGTTTTCTGAGCTCGGAGGCCAGGGATAAGCATATTCTAGCCTGGAGTCTCATGCTGAACAGTACTGAGACTCAGGTGGAAAGGGGGAATGGTTTTAAAATGAGAGACTTTATTTCAAGTCTAAGGGGTTTATACTTTACAACTATCAAACACACTGAGTGTTACTGGAGGCTGTTGGGTAGGAAAACAGGTGTGTGAGGCAGGCTAATCCAGCAGTGTTGTACAGGCTCAGAGTTGAGGGATGGTGGAAGGACACTGGTGATCTAAGGACCTGTCTGGAGGACTATTAGAAAATTCACTTGTGAAATGTGGATTGAAAGAATTGGAGGAAGGTAAAATTCTTTCAAGAACATATATCATTTAGTGACTGGAATAGAAGACAAAGGAGAGGAACTGTCTATGTTAGCCTCAAACATGGAAAATTATGGGAAAGATGCTACTACTAACGGAAACAGAAAAGTTGGGAGGATAATTGATTTCAAGGTAGATGATAAAATATAAGATTTTAGGGGTGCTGAACTTGAGTGATAATGAGCTTGCATATTAAGGACCTGTATCTCACCATATAAAGTTGGATGCTGGAGTCCTTGCAGGTTGAGAACCTATGTCCCATAGGTAAAAGGTTGGGGCTTGTTTTAATGGCATTATCTCACTGTTTGAATCAAGAAGCATGCACGTCATTAGAAGATACTTCCACATGTACTGACATTTTGTACTCTGCAAAACTTTATGGGGCAGGAGTCATCACTTGATGAACTGTTGTTAATGAATGTTATGGTTAATTTCCATAGTGAGTCACAGAAAGGATTAGGGCAGGAACCCTGGTCTTCTACCCTCTAGTCCAGTGAACGATCTGGAAAGACTTTAACAGTCCACAGAACTGCAGGATTGATAGGAATTAAAGGTTACCCAATTTGGTCACCAACCTAAAACTGAAATTCCTCCCTATCATCTGTAACTCGTGGTTATCCAGACTACTTGAAGGATCTTCACAAAGTTCATGGGCAATGCATATCATGAAAAAAGAAAGCGGGCCAGCGCTGCGGCTCACTAGGCTAATCCTCCACCTAGTCCCGGTCGGGGTGCCGGATTCTGTCCCGGTTGCCCCTCTTCCAGGCCAGCTCTCTGCTGTGGCCAGGGAGTGCAGTGGAGGATGGCCCAAGTGCTTGGGCCCTGCACCCCATGGTGCAGGAGAAGCACCTGGCTCCTGCCATCGGATCAGCAGGGTGCGCCGGCCGTGGCAGCCATTGGAGGGTGAACCAACGGCAAAGGAAGACCTTTCTGTCTCTCTCTCTCTCACTGTCCACTCTGCCTGTCAAAAAAAAAAAAAACAAAAAACATACATTTCAAATTTTTTTTGCAACAATATAAGCTTATCTTTTGATTTTATTTTTCCAAGATTTTTTTGAAGTCCTTTGATATTAGAACCCCTTTGTTGGTAACTGGAGACAACTCATTTTACCTTTGGACAATTCTGGGTGAAATCCATCCCTTATTATTTTAATCTGTGTTTCTTAGTTTTCCTCTTGAAGTTCTATGTCTCAGATAAATCTGGTATGACTTTTAGTCAATCCTGGTGGACAAGAAATATGTATTTATTTACTTTAAGACAGCTGAAATCCCCTCCAATTGGTGGTGGGAAATTCAAGCTCAGCCATTATCCTTTCCACTCTCTTTTCATACAGGGCTTAAAGTCTCATACAATGCACTCATTTCCTCCAACTGTGGGGCTCTGCTGCTTTGAGGAGACTGCACCCAGTGCCTGCCCTCCTAGTTCCTCTACAAGCTGCTCCCACAAAAGCTTGCCCCTCCTTAGGGCTCTTGTCTATGCAGAGACCATCTGAGCTCCACCACTTCTCAATCTGGAGAAAACTCTTTCTGATGCACCTAAAGGCGCTCCTCCCTCACTCCTTTTCCCCTTTCAAAAGTCCATCCTATTTCTTAAATTTTTTTTTTTTTTTTTGGACAGGCAGAGTGGACAGTGAGAAAGGTCTTCCTTTGCCATTGGTTCACCCTCCAATGGCCGCCACGGCCGGCGCGCTGCAGCCGACGCACCGCTGATCCAAAGCCAGGAGCCAGGTGCTTCTCCTGGTCTCCCATGTGGGTGCAGGGCCCAAGCACTTGGGCCATCCTCCACTGCCCTCCCAGGCCACAGCAGAGAGCTGGCCTGGAAGAGGTGCAACCGGGACAGAATCCGGTGCCCTGACCAGGACTAGAACCCGGTGTGCCGGCGCCGCAAGGTGGAGGATTAGCCTAGTGAGCCACGGCGCCAGCCAGCCATCCTATTTCTTTAATGTCTTCAGCTTTTACAAATATCCACAGGAAGCACTAGCTTTCAGTAATTTTCACTTTCTGCTCTGAATCAGTGACTGAGGGAAGGGAATACCAAGAGCTTGGTGACATGTTTGAAATGGAAAAGGAAAAAGAGAAAGAACAAACATAAATTAATATTCCAGTAAAAATCCAGCCACACACAAATTTAAGCCTTGTTGCACATGGCAGCCTTTGGAATCTTTGATGACTCTCCGTTCCGAGCTACCTTTGCGTGTTATGACTTTCTAGTCAATTATTTAATCTTGTCTGCTCCTAATTTAGCATAGTTCATAGTTACCCATATGTTTACTTCTTGTCTGTACTTTCTTGGGACCAGTCATTAAGCTGCTGATTGTTTCCCAGATGGATAATGGATTGAGCTGGCCCAGGAGAGTATTGGCAGTTGAGGATTAGCTCATTTGATTTATGAATTCACCACAGATAAACCACAGAGATCCTAATCCCCACCTCTCTCCCACTTATGAATAGCAGAGCTTTTGATGAAGGCACTTTTTAACTTTGTAATTTTCCTATTTAGCCTCCAAAGAACAACAATATAATAAGGTAACCACCCCTGTGGAATTTTGTCTCTTCTCTATCAGTAGGAATTTACAAAGTTCTTATTTATTCACAGGTAATGAGTGTGTATACAGCAACTCCCCTGAAATACCTTTGGAAGAAATGCCAGATGCGGATGGAGTAGGCAGCACTGCCTCCCGCAATATTCAAGAGCCACGCTCTCCAGCCACGTCCAGTGACGCATTCACTCCGACGGAGGGCTCTCCTTACAAAGCCCCCATCTACATCCCTGATGATATTCCCATTCCTGCTGACTTTGAACTTCGAGAGTCAAATATGCCAGGAGCAGGACTAGGAATATGGACCAAAAGGAAGATTGAAGTAGGTGAAAAGTTCGGGCCTTATGTGGGAGAGCAGAGATCAGACCTGAAAGACCCCAGTTATGGATGGGAGGTAAGAACATATTTTGTCAATTTATATATATGTGTACTCACACACACACACATATATGCATACACACACACACACATATATATATACGCATACATATTCAGATATGTAAAGAAGACATTAATTAAGTAGTCATAAAACAAGTAAGTATTTAAGAATGAACTTCCCTTACAATTCTCACTTCTTGATTAAAAACAATGTATTGCCTAAAAGAGTAGCATGATGGGAGGGAAACCAACCAAATTAACAGTAAAAGAATAGCATAAACTTAAAATGATAATAAAAAGAAAACAAATGTGACTTTATAGTTAACTTTTGGAAATATCAAATATGACCTGCTGTACATAGCATATGGCATTAGCAAACAAATAATATTTTGACATGTTTACTATATTTTATCTTTTGGAGGCACATGAAAGATAGGAGGAAAACATTTGCACACTATTTTTTTTTTTTGTGGCTCTGAGTTAATTTGGTTTTACTTTCATTTTAAATTTCCATTTTGCTGTGTTTTCCTAATGTATTTGGATCCCTTTGATAATCCTGTTTTAATTCTATATGCTTCCAGAAAGGGTACACTGCACTCATCACTGAATTCCAAGATGGTTCTTTATGTTTGAGTTGATTTAATAAGTAATTTGTGCATAAAAATGACAGCATAAAGTGGTTATGAAAATTAGTGCTTGATTTTGGTCATATTCACACTTTGGATAGAATTCATCTGACAACTAAGAATTAGAAGTTATGGTTTGATTTCAAAATCTAAGTTGATTTTATTTCAATAGATTATGATTCTTCTGAGTTTATAATTTTTGTACAGATTCAGTATATATATACTGTACATATATGTGTGTATATATACTGTACATATATATGTATATATAACCTCTGAAAGTCTTGTAGGCAATTTTTACATGGGTAGGAAGGTGCTTTTGGAGATGTGATTGACCTTTGGTTTCCTAGTATTTCAGTTAGACAAAAATCAGGTAAACTAGATTTATTTTGTTATATTTTCTCAATATTTTTGCTCATTAATAGAATATATGGTTAGTTTTTAAACAGAAATAAATATGCTGTGGCTTCAGAACTTAATCTCAACACTTTGACTCCTTGCTTTGTGTGTGTCCCATTGTGTGAAATCTGTTCAAAATGTCACCATAAAAACAATTCTTGTTCGAATTTGAAATGGCAAAAGTTAAGACCTAGATCTGACATGATCACAAGTGAGAAAGCCTTCCTTAGTTTCATTCCTAGCCACAGTCCCAGTGAAAGTTGTAGTTCAGCTACACTGCCCTTAGACACGTTTATTGATAAGAGATTTTTAAAAAGTCACCGTACCATTAACTGATATGTGAGTTGAATACGTTTTAAACCAAATGCGTATGAACTTTACGTCATTATTGTTCACCTTAAAATAATGGCCATAAACATTCTAATAATAAGTAACTCATTAAACTTTTATTACAAAATCTCCAGAGTTAAACAACAAGTGCAGTACTGGTCAAGATTATCCAGAAGGCTTGGAATAAACCGAGGCTTAATAAACGGAATCATTTTGCAATTACAGGGAGGTTGGTAAATGCAGGACTGTGCCTTTTTAAACATAATACCCATGGACTGGGGGTTGAACCTGGGGAAAATTGCGCATTTAGAGGAAATTTAAAAATAATTATTTTTTTTCTCTTTAGAGTAAAATGTCTTCAGCAGATACACAGGCAAATATTTACCTTGAGAAATGTAAGATGATTCTTTTCATTATGTCAAAATGGAGTTGTTTTACTGCTTTGTAATTCAAGATACCTTTATAAAATAGTTCATGACTTTTTGGCGAAAGATCATGTAGTCCTTCTTTCTCCTTCAAGAATTAGGTTGATGGCCAATTCAGTAGTTTTCTTCATCATTTTATTCTCCCTTTTGGGCATGTGGATCGTCTGCTCTGGAGGTACAATGAATCAAACCAGAGAAAGGGCTTTTTGTGGTTTTGGCAAACTGGTTTCCTTTGAGAAGCAGTTGAGTTCTTGACTCTTGACTATTTTTTTCTCTTACCCTAGTTAATATGAAATCCAATCATGATCAAAAAGAACTTTCACAAAGGCATCTCACCCCACTCCTGTGTGTTCATTTTTAATTGTCCTCCTGTCATACTTGACCTCAACTGTATTTGATTTTCCTCCTATTTGGTTAGACAGATAATTGTGATTAACTAGTGTGATGACTCTTTTTGATACTTCTTCATTATTTACAATGATGTGTTGAAGGAGAAAAAAAAAAATGTGCCTTAGGTACCCTCAGAGAGAAGCACAAACAGGAAATCCAGGTTCAGCAATCAATTACTGAGTCCCTGCTGTGCATCAGAGTCTGCACTAAAGGTCTGCCTTGCAGAAGCTCTGCCTGTCATAACAGGACAAACCATTATTTTCTCCAGTACTGCCCTTGGTCTTTTTCTCCACAAAGCCTTCCTTTTTGTGCATTTCTTGTTTTAATAAATTACCATTTACCCAGTTGCCCAAGCCAAAAAATATATCAGCTTTACTCTGTCCTATACCAACCATGCCTAAGTTGTAGCTTCCCTATTCTGTAAAGCCCATTCGTTATAAACTCTTCTTCCTTGTCTTCCCTATGTTTAGTGAGTTTCTATTCATTCTTCAAGTTCTCTTCTTCCATGCCGCCATTAATGACCTTCCTAGTGACAATTTAGTATTGCCTACATTTGTCCTGCCAGGACAGGTGAATGCAATTACTAACAAACTATAAACACTGTGCAATATCCAGATTATTCCCCAGCTTCCCTAATATAGCAAAATTTCCTTGAGAGCTTAAACAGCTCTATCCTCCTAGTTCAATACCTTGATTGTGTCCCATAAGTTTTTTGTTGTTGTTTTTTAAAAGAGTTTATTTATTTATTTGAAGGTAGAATTACAGACAGAGAGAGGGAGAGAGAGAAGTCTTCCATCCACTGGTTCACTCCCCAAATGGCCATAATGGCCAGAGCTGGTCCTATCAGTAGCTAGGAGCTAGAAGCTTCTTCCGGGTCTCCCACGTGGGTGCCCTGGCCCAATCACTTAGGCCATCTTCCACTGCTTTCCCAGGTCATAGCGGAGAGCTGAATTGAAAGAGGAGCAGCTGAGACTCAAACCGGCACCCAAATGGGATGCTGGCACCACAGGTGGGGCATAGCAGAGAGCCCCTGCACCCACGTGGGTGACCCAGAAGTTCCTGTCTCCTGGCTTCAGATCGGCTCAGCTCTGGCCTTTGCAGCCAATTGGGGAGTGAATCAGTGGATGGAAGACCTCTCTCTCTCTCTCTGCCTCTCCTTCCCGCTCTGTGTAACTCTGACTTTCGAATAAATAAATAAATCTTAAAAGGAAAAAAGAATGTTGGGTGATGTGGCTTGGGAGGTCCTTGGAAAAATGTGAAGTCTGAAATTTAGAAATGTGTGGTTAAGTCTCACCTCTGCCACCAACTGTATGATTCCAGGGAAACTACTGAGAATTGATTAGCCCCTGCGTTTTTTCATTTGGCCAATGGGTCAATAATAACTGTTCCATGTTGTGATATAATTCAACTGAATCAAAGAAATATGATAGCCTCTTCAAAGAAAAATTTTAAAAGAGAGGGGTCAAAGATAATATAACTTGGGGACATCTTTCAGTGCCGTATTTAAGTAATTATTAAAGAATTGACTATATTTCTCATAAGCTATTTTGAATTATCTACTCAGTTTGTATGTTAGAGAAATAGGATGCGATTTATGGATCAAAATACATGGTCATATTGAATAAGCCATAGGTATCAAAGACATCATTTGTATGACTTTCTTTCAAGCTAGTATTTTTTTTTTTGTTTTGTTTTGTTTTGTTTTGTTTTTTGACAGGCAGAGTGGACAGAGAGAGAGACAGAGAGAAAGGTCTTCCTTTGCCATTGGTTCACCCTCCAATGGCCGCCGCGGCCAGCGTGCTGCAGCCGGCGTACTGCGCTGATCGGATGGCAGGAGCCAGGTACTTCTCCTGGTCTCCCATGGGGTGCAGGGCCCAAATATTTGGGCCATCCTCCACTGCACTCCCTGGCCACAGCAGAGAGCTGGCCTGGAAGAAGGGCAACTGGGACAGAATCCGGCGCCCCGACCGGGACTAGAACCCGGTGTGCCGGCGCCGCAAGGCGGAGGATTAGCCTAGTGAGCCGCGGCGCCCTCCGCTAGTATTGGTTTTATAAAGAGAAACTTTTAAAATCCTATTAGAATTTGGCAATGATTGCCACTTCACAGCATAAGTGATTTGTCTTTAACAAAAAGATTTTCAGACTTGGGGGTGCTTGATTGTTTTTAAGACCTGAAAATAATTAGTGATAGAATGTTTTTAAGAAATTATTTAGGGACTGGCATTGTGGCATAGCAGGTTAAGCTACCACCTGCAGCACCAGCATCTCATATGAATGTCAGTTCAAGTTCTAGTTATTTTTTTAAGATTTATTATTTTATTTATTTGAAAGGCAGAGCTATAGAGTTACAGAGAGGCAGAGAGAGGCAAAGAGAGAGAAAGAGACAGAGAGATGCTCCACTTCTGATCCTGCTCCCACTAATGTGTCAGCAAAAACAGTGGAAGATGGCCCAAATGCTTGGGCCCCTGCACCCACATGGGAGACTTGGAAGAAACTCCTGGCTCCTGGCTTTGGACTGGCCCAGCTCCAGCCTTTGTGGCCATTTGGGGAATGAACTAGTGAATGAAAGATCTTTCCTTTTCTCTGTTTCTCCTTCTCTCTGTAACTCTGCCTTTCAAAAAAGAAATTTAAATATTTATTAGAAAGGCAGACAGACAGACACAGATCTCCCATCCAGTGGTTCAATCCCCAATTGCCCACAACGGCCATAGCTGAGCCAGGCTTCACACTTACACTGTGAAGTGGCAATCATTGCCAAATTCTAATAGGATTTTAAAAGTTTCTCTTTATAAAACCAATACTAGCTTGAGAGAAAGTCATACAAATGATGTCTTTGATACCTATGG